CTCTCAATCTCTGCTTCCCCTTCGAGCCAGATAAGCTTATTCCATGCCCACTGCACCTAACAAATAACATGGATCATCCCACCGCCTTCAGGATTCAGCCAAATATCGACATCTTTGCCGGTTCGCTCCGAGGCATTGTGCCTGCAAGATCCACTCAGACTTACATTCTGACGATGCAAAAGCAACAGAAACCACCCCCAAACCTGAGCACAATTCACATCCAGAGCGTTGCAGCCAACTTGGACTTATCGTTGTACATGTTTAACAAAGCAGAAGCAGTTCATGATGTGTTGAAACAGGTGAAGATAACGAGTCTTCATGAGTGTGCAAGCCAGCTAGCATTCAAGGTGCGTTCTGTAAATTTGCTGCTCAAGGGTTACAATTTTCAAACTTTGGAGAAACATCTAATTTCTCAAAAAAAAAAACTTTGGAGAAACACCATTACTATTTATCTATTTTGAAACATACCATTACAATTCTTCGTTTCCCACAAGAATGCCACATAATACGTATAGAGACGACTTGAGCCTAGCTGCAGGCATATACGAATATGTATACTTCAATACAGCGTGAGCCCCACATGTCATCTTCTTCTTCCTCTTCTCATCTCTCCTTGGTGAGCAGCATCGGTCGCCATCCATGGCGAGCAGCCGCAGCTAGCACGCGGCCGAGCAGTAGCAGCAGCACGCCGGCTGGGAGCCACGAGCTTGCCAAGACAGGGCCACGAGAGCAGCAGCTCGCCATTGACGGGGCCACGAGCTCCACGTCGGCTGGGAGCGCCTGGGCTGCGAGCTCCGTGTGCCGCCCAAGCCGCGAGCTCCGCGCGCCGTCCAGGCCGTGAGCTCCGCGCCGGCCACGTGCGCCCCACCGCCGTCCGCTCGCCGCGTGCTGCTGCTGCTCGCTCGCGTGCTAGCTGCTGCTGCTCGCCTGCGTGCTAGCTGCTGCTGCTTGTGGAAAACAGGGGAGCTCGCAGCGTGCTGCTGCTGCTCGTGGCCCGGACGGCACACGGAGCTCGCGGCTTGGGCAGCGCGCGGAGCTCGCGGCCCAGGCGCTCCTAACCGGGGTGCTGCTGCTCGCCATGGACGAAGATGACCTGCGGGGCTTGCGCGTCGGTGATAGGGAGAGGGTACCGAAGTATGTATTCGTTTACGCCTGCAGCTATAGGCCAAGTCGTCTCTATACGTTTGTGTGGTATTTTTTTTCCGTGGGAAATGAAGAATTATAATAGTATGTTTCAAAATAGGCAAATAGTAATGGTGTTTCACTAAAATTAAAAAATTGTAATGGTATGAAAACAATAGCACTATTTCATGTGATATTATGCTCCGCTGACAAAAGCTAAACCACAGAACTTATGGCACCTGCAATGGCTGACTTATAAGCTAGCTCTAAGCATTTTTTTACATTTTAATAGAAGAGAGAAAAAGCTAGCTCTTCATTAAGAGCTACGCTCATACACACATTTAAAAACATGTGAGAGTGTCGTGGGGCTATCCATATTATGAGTTATATGCTAAAAATTAACACTGCTGAAGAGGTTGGCTTAGAGCTAATAACCAGCTTATACTATTACGGGTGCCCTTATCGCTCCCATCCTAACCAATGGATCGAGATCACGTCATTTTTTTTCAAAAGTGAATTTTATTTGTAATATACTTTTTCTCTGTTTAATTTGTCCTTTGGCATCATTGTGCAACTGCTTGATTTCGTGGCGTTGTTACACCAATACAGCCCAGAATTCAGGTATATACATAATTTTATTTTTTTCTTATTTTGCTCATAATAATATGTGATGCTTAAATCTTTTGGCGCTAACTAGCGTTTGTTTGATTTGATCAGGTATTATCCCTCAATCCTACTGATAGCATAGACATCCATCCATTGGAGCCATGGTGCGTGCAAAGATTTACTCTCTTGAAATGATACGGATTAGCATTGATTATTCGTTCATCGAGTTCTTTAACGCAACTGTTTTTTGCTCTCACGGAACTTCTTATGCGGTACACGCAGGGTTCTAATAATAAAATCTGGTTGGGGTGAGGCACGTGGCATTGAAATTTGGAACTGCAGGACCAGGGTAAGTGCTGCACAGACACTAGCTAGTCGGTACTACATCCGTCCCAGCAATGATATAAATTCTACTGACTAGCTATGTTTAATTTAACTAAATTTATGGAAAATAGTATCAACATTCATTACTTCAAACAGATACTATAAAAATGTATTTCCATGGTACTTAGGAAAATATTCGATGCAAACCACCTTCTCGGTGGAATCATGAAAACCCTTTACAAAAATATACTTAGAACTATTAAAAAAATAGAAACAATGTCCATTCGTAGTGCATTTATATATGTATGTTGTCACCAAATTTGAGATTTAAATTCGTTTTATAAAAATTCATAGGAAAATAGCAAATTCCGGATACATATGCACTATACTATAAGTCTAGAATTGCATCCATGGTACGATGGAGTGAGTGCGTAGTAGTTGAGTGTATAGAGGCATATATGTAATTAAGATATGTGGGTTATCTATTCTTTTGAGTTAAATGCATCACATGTCTATTAACTTATGCATGGTTTTCAGTTGGGTTCATCAACTTTAAAAGTTAAATTTCGGATCTCTAAACTATTTATATTTAAGTGGTTCACCATGGGTCTATATTTCTTTGTTCGGCCCTTAGATTCAACTTTTGTGCCATAAACTTTTAAAGGGTTTTCATGATTCCACCGAGAAGGTGGTTTGCAAACACTAGAATTATAGATTGAAAACACTAGAATTTTGCGTTGACCTCCACAGAGATTTGTCACCTAGGGCACAAGAGACCATTTGGCAAAGTTTGGCACCATTCCGGATCTTTTCGGGGGTGGACTCAGTTCAACGTATAATTAATCGGTGAATTCGCGTGGAAATTCAATTAAAGTGCAAAAAGCACCAAACTAGCTCAGAAAAATCTCAAATTTGGCGGTGGCCTCACACAGGGCATTTGCAGTCTTGAGAAAAAGTTTTAGACCAATCCGGCACTGGAAAACACATGGACCTCAGAATCCTAGAGAACTTAGGTGTGTAGATAGGGTTCGACGAAAGGTTCTATATATCTCTGTGAAGCACGTCGACTCCGCCTATGTCAAAATGGCTTGAAATTTTTTTGGCAGTCATTTACCCTCAAAATATGGGCTCACACAAGATCTTAGGTTTTTCTGATAATTATTTTTATTATTACATTTTTCTTTGTGCCGCGTGAGACGAAATACGGTGAATTATATATTGAAAACACTTGAATTTTGCGTCGAAATACGGTAAAATAAAACTTAAAAACTTATGTGTGAAAATTATAATTTCCCCTAAAATCTAAAACTATTTTTTCAACAAAAGACTCTAAAACCAAAGTATACTTAAGAAAAGAATATAAATGAAACTAATAAACTAAAAGTATTTGTTTTTTTAATAACTACTAGCGGAAGCTTTATTCCCGGTTAGATGTTATAACCAGGAACAAAGAGTAATATTTATTCCCATCTAAAGCCTCCAGCTAGTCCCGGTTAGTGGCTCTAGCCGGGACTAAATGTCGATCTTTAGTCCTGGTTATAGCCTCTAACCGGGACTAAAGGTTTGCCTACCGAGGCAGCAGCGTTGGGCAGCGACCTTTACTCCTGGCTCGAGGGTATAGCCGGGATTAAATCTCCTTCACTCCCGGGTTCAAAAAATACCGGAAGTAACTCCGAAAATGGTGCCGAGACAAAAGGTCTGTTTTCTACTAGTGTATGCACTATATGCACTATACTATAATTCTAGAATTGCATCCATGGTACGACGGAGTGAGTGCGGAGTAGTTGAGTGTATAGAGGCATATATGTAATTAAGATATGTGGGTTATCTATTCTTTTGAGTTAAATGCATCATATGTCTATTAACTTATGTATGGTTTTCAGTTGGGTCCATCAACTTTAAAAGTTGAATTTCGGATCTATAAACTATTTATATTTAAGTGGTTCACCATGGGGCTATATTTCTTTGTTTGGCCCTTAGATTCAACTTTTGTGCCATAAACTTTTAACCGCAGGTCCATACCACCCCTTTATTTGGTCACGTAGCACGTAGAGTCAACATTCACCATGGAATGAAATCTAAGAACCCAGAAGTTGAATCTAAGGCCAAATGAAGGGGTATGGTCCTATGGTCAACCCCTTAAAAGTTAATGAATCTCTAGTGTATTGAACTCTATTATTTTTACAATCTCGCCAATCCACAATTAGAGACTTTGTTGTCCGGTAGTATTATAGCTAGATTTATTTTTTTAGTAGAATCTAATTTATGTATTCAACATTACTATAATTGACTCGATCATTCATGTTAGAGCAACAAGATTAGAAAAGCCGGTCCTGATACTACATGGCAAGAGCCAGGACTGACCCCTGAGAAGCACAATTTATCGAAGCCCAAATAGTATGAACAAAAGGCCGGGAATCTGTCTACAGGACACTAAAACGTTTTGCTTTTGCTTAAAACACGCACCATCTTGTTCAATTTTGGCTGTTGCATATCAAAAATGCATTATTTTAAAAAGAGACGCTGCAACAGATAAAATGATTATTTTTAGCCCACATGTTAGAATATAAGGCTTTCTTTTGGCCATCCTCAGGATAGATCTAGCTTCGCCTTCACCTGCTACTCTGGTAGCAACAGCTCTGGCTACACCAACTCAAAACCAATTAACAAAGAGGAGGAGCCATCGAAGTTTGGTTTTGTAGACTTCACTGACTGGTCAAAGTCGTTTTTAAATTATTATTTAAAAATAAACCCTTGGCGCTAAATTCTTAGACTCTGATTGATGTAAATATTGTGCTAGAGGTATTGAATTGGGTGCCAATACCAATACAGCCTTAGAATGGAATTTGGTTCAATACCAAATCATTTGTTTGGTTGTAGATAGAATTGGTAGCTAGAATCTAGAAAGGTTATAAAGTCAAAATTCTGTTGGATGGCCAGGCATTGAAATGGCCCTCTGTCTCCCTTGTCCCTTCCCCCTCGGTCCCTCTTCTCCGTCCTACATCTGCACCAGGGCTCTCCGCCGGCAAGTCACCCTCAGCCCGAGCTCTCCACCGATGACGGGCGGTAGGCGGAGGCGGCCTCGGCCACGACATGCTCGGGCGCGGAGGCGGGAAGTTAGAGATGGGGTGGTCGCTGCCGACCCCCTCGGCCCTTCCTCTCCGTCGTCGACAAGAAGCAGTGGGGGAGGACGCGAGTGGATCTCGCCGCTGCCGAAGATGGAAGAGGAGTTGCCGAGAAGGGGAGCTCGATTGCAGCCACGGGGGAGTTCGCGGCGCCGTCCATGGTGGATCTCGCGCTGTCGGCCATGGGGAGAGGAAGAGGAGCTCGTGCCGCCGTCCATGGTGGATCTCGCCGCCGGCGGAGATGGAAGAGGAGCTGCCGAGAAGGGAGCTCGACTGCGGCCATGGGGGAGCTCGCGACGCCGTCCATGGTGGATCTCACGCCGCTGGCCATGGGGAAGGAAGAGCAGCTCATGTCGCCATCCATGGTGGAGCTCGCGCCGCCGTCCATGGGGGGAGGAAGAGGATCTCGTGCCGCCGTCCTTGGTGGAGCTCGCGCCGCCGGCCATGGGGAGGAAGAGGAGCTCGCGCCGCTATCCATGGGGAAGAGGAAGAGGAGCTCGCGCCGCTATCCATGGGGAAAAGGTTTGTAACCAAACAACCAGACACACCAACAAAAATTACATGCTTACCTGTAAACTTAAACCTAAAATGATATTAACAAAACATCAATTGTCACTTGGCACAAGGGCGAGGAGATGAGAGACCCCTCGAGCCCCAGCCAAACACCAAAGGTGTAGCTCCTCCCTGATGAACAACATAACCTCATTCAAGCTTGGCAAAATCCCATAAAAAATACAACGATTGTGGTGATTCTAGATTGTCTAAGCTCCTAAAATGATGATGGAATTAAGCCCTTTTTGAACTGGGCCACTCACTCTATCATTTGTTTGTGCCCACCAATCATCAAAGGAAACATCATTGGGCTGGGGGTTAAGCCTTCCAAACTCACTTGCTGCAAGAGGAGGTACCACGCTGGTCAAGTGAAGACACATGACACAAGCAAATGGACAATTGTTTCTTCCTCCTGATCACATAGCAAGATCTGATCACATAGCAAGCAATGTTCATGATGCAGTAACCCCCGTTTGGCAAGGCGATATACAGTCCAACACCTATTATGAGCGACCAACCACATGACGAATTTGCACTTACCAGACACCTGACTTTTCCAGATTCTCTCCCTAGGTCGACTGAAATGGTCAGCCCCAACAATCAAACTCTCATATGTTGATTTTGTTGAGTATTTTCCATTAGAAGAGAAACACCATGTGTGGGAATTTTCACTCTCGGCCTACAGTTCTACCTCCGAGAAAAGGTCACACAGGTCAAGAAATTCAGCAATGATTGTAGCAGTGATTGCACCTTGAATATCTGGAATCCAACTCAGTTCAGTCAAAGCATCGCAAACTGTTCGTTGCGTTGCTCGCCTTGGTACCAGTTTCTTGAGCTAACATAACAAGTCTCTGAAGCCCTTACCAGACATACTATGAGTAGATTTCAGCTCTAATAGCCTGATAAAATCTAATTTGCTCACCTTGCAACCCTTATATAATGGTGTTTTTCCATCCTTCCTCATTTTCTCTAACTTTTTCAATTGTTTTGGACTAAGGAATCCTGACTACGCATCACATAGCATCTTAGAGAACCCATCGTCCACGGTGTCATCAGCTAACATATTCCTAAGGACATTATTATTAACCACATCTTTGCCAGGTATGCTCTCATCATTGCCACCTTGGTCATCCGCTACATTGTCACCCTCTTCACCATGCATATTCCATATCTCAAAACAGTGGCGGAGCTAGAGAAAATTCAAGGGGGGTGCACTTGCCTTGTGGGTGCATAGACTTTTATTTTGAGGGTGTGAATATGGTGAAAATTTAGCTATAATCACTGTTTTTCTATTTTTGCGTGGGTGCGGCCGCACCCACTAATGACTATATACATCCGCCCATGTCTTATAATCTTCCACAAAACCTTGGGTAACCAGGTGACATCCTATCTTCTTAGGCTTGCGAAATTGCCTCAGATTCTTGCAGACCCTGCATGGGCAGCACACATCCTTCATTCAGGGGATCACCTGTGACATAAGCTTTGGCGGCCTTGATAAATAAGTCGATGCCCATCACAAACTGCAGGTCCATAGGACCCAGACCACATATCCATCCTTGATCCATCTGTTAGCAAAAAAAAAAGTACAGGGCACTGGATTTAGTTTAAGTTTCAAGTTTATGAATGCACGCCCTATGAATAATAAATGCTCACTAGGTAAATATAATGTCCAATAATAATAAATTTCCAAATCCTATACCAGATATAATTCAAACATGTCTAAATTAAATGTTTGGTAGGTAATAAATGCTATTCTGAAAATAAATACTTGGTAGGTAATGTAGCCTCAAATTAAATTATGTGTATCTCATGGGTTCATCAAGAACTGGTCACCCATATGACAAAAATCAAAACCAATATTCTAACAAAAGCAAACTATCTAGATACATATTAAGTGAGTACACAAAGGTACTAACATTGTATTGCCAGTCGCAAGTGGATTCACCAAAATTCAGATGCCTTCACGAAAAAAGCTCTGCAAATTTGACAACGATCAAGAGCATGTGAATCAAAGACAATATGACCAACAAGACTAGCTACAAATTCAAAGGACTACTAGTTTACCACCTTACAACAAAGGGATCATGTCAATCCTTCAAAATCAACCCCCCCGCAAAAGAGGAAAGCGAAAAGACGCCTCCTTCCATGAATGTGCTTGGGTTGGGCGGGAGGAGGAAGAAGGGGCTTGGGTTGGGGTTTTTGCATTGTATCAGTAACACTGTCGGGTTAAGCAAAAATCCGGTAGTGATACTGACACATCACTATCGGTTTCTTTTAATAAACGGCTGATGATCCAATATCACCGGTGGTTCATAATTTCAACCGGCAGTGATGGGACCTTCCTGCCACGTGTACACAATCCTAATCATTTTTCGGATAGTCCATACAGCATTGCTGGCATGTCTCGGACCTAGCAGTTGGATACACCTACCCATACATGCATGAGTTGTCCACCATTGGATATATACACCTACTGATACCGGAAGATGTGCTAAAAGTTATTTGCACTTATTGTATTTTTCTTGGATGCATGATTTATATACCTGTGTTTGAGACCCTTACATGTGGTGTATCCAATTTGTGAACGATGTATATGTCATTCTAGAACAACAACATATATGAATTTATAAAGATCTAGAGTACACAAAAGATATATATGATAACAAAGACCTTACAATAAATTTACGTATACAATAATAAAGATCTTTTCAGAAAAGAGGTAAATGTTTTACCGACTAGGACAAAATCTATAAACACATTATAATATAACCCCCTCACAATCATTCTTGTAACACCCGAGTGGGGGTGTCAAAAGTGTAGGAGCATGCTAGGGTGGAGAACCACTATGGCTGCGAGCCATGATGAGTCTATGCTGCCTCTGGCTCAACGCTGACCAACAGGCAAGGGTTTGGAGCTGTGATGAACCCATGCCTCTAGCAGTAGGCCACATAATAACAACAAACTAAGGAATGGTTGCACTGCTGCCAACACACCTTGGCTTTGATGTGGCTTTATCTTTACAAACATTCTTATAGTACCTCTCATGCTTCATCTTGACTACAAAACGGAAGGTGTATATGGAGAGACTCCTCCCACAGAGAACACATATTGAGACTATATTCAAATGACTGGCACACATGCAGGGGACCTAGCTCCTCTGTACGTGGAGGTGTACGGACGCCGGTTTTATAACCAGAAGTAATGGTGGTAGATGGATCTAATGGTGTAGAAGCTCAACCAATTGATGGTTTGGTGGATCCAGCGGCAGAGAACATCGGGTCAACACCAAAGCTCATGGCTTGACCCGGCAGTGATATATCACTCCCGGTTCATAGCCTTTGCCAGCATTGATATGACACCTATCACTGCCGGTTTATGGCTTGAACCGGCGGTGATATGTCACTGCCGGATAGTGGTTTGAGCCAACTGTGATAGGTGCCTTCACTGCTCGGTGAATAGCTTCCCTAACTTTTCTGAATCCTAGGCTTATGAACCGGTAGTGTTAAGCAAACACTACCGGTTCTAGCATAACCGGCAGTGATTGTGTGTTCTGGCCTCATGTAAATACCACCGGCTACTCGGAGTACTAAAACGAACGGCTTTTTCTGTCTACGTGCAGGCAAAGTTGGACCTGTCGAATAAGCTTCCACCAATAAAAGGTGTTTATTTTTACTTCTACTTCTAGCTGTTTCTTTTCCGACGCACTCACTTGCTAATAAATAGATTAATCACTACAATTTCAGGTGTGATTGAAGCCAAATTTATTGCACGCAAGCAATGGCTTGTGGCTGGAGATTGGGATGGTTACATTCATGTGTATTGCTACAAGGCAATGCAGCGACTCGCGCATTTCAAAGCACACCGATCGTTACACATACAGGACTTGGCAGTTCATCCAACTGAGCCATATGTGCTGTCAGCTTCTTTCCACGAGGGAAACGTCAAGTTGTGGGACTGGGAAAAGGGCTGGAAATGCACTCGAATATTTGAGTTTGCTGACTTTGACCATGTCTATGGAGTCACCTTTTTAAACATAAAGGATACGGATACTTTTACAGTTCATGGCGATGCTGGAATAAAGGTAGTATATCCAACAGACCAATACTTAAGTCAATCTGGTAGTATAGTCTATTGACGACCTATGGACAATACTTCTTCAGGTTTGTAATCACCGGTCTGCTGGTTCTGCTGAATTCATATTGTCAGAATATAAAGATCCAGGTTTTATAACTTGCTTCGATCACTTTGCTAATGGTGGCCATCATTATCTGATTATCGGTGGCATTGATGGGATTGTCAAGGTGTGACGTCTTCTCAGTAACCATGAAGTGCAACGTATGCGATGAAGCATTCTCAATTATAATCTTTTTCTTTTGTTGAATCAGATTCGGGACTTGCACACAAAGAGTCTTGTTCAAACAGTTGAAGGCGTACATCTTGATTCAGTCAAAGTAATCTATTGCCATCCCGAGCATCCAGTACTAGTTACAGGGTCACAAGATGGAACTGTTTGTCTGTGGAACTCAACTACGCTCAGGTAAAAGCACTTTACACTTTACTGCTCGTAGGACAGCTTACACATGACAGGCTGGGTATATCAGAATTCGCTGAAATATATTGTCAATGAGACCAGAGAAAATATATGTGCCTGTAAAATAAAGCGCAGCAATGCTACAGACAGATGTATAATTGCTTCTTTTCTATTGATCATCCTGTTGGAGTATAGTGATTGTGGAATGCCCAAGGACATGCATAAAACTTTACATTCATTGACATCAAAAGATTGTGATGTGTTGCTTTCTTAAAAGCAGAGGTAAAACTTTTTTTTTTAAAGTTTGTGATGTACCGTATCACATTTCACATTCTTTATATAATGAAAACAGAGTTCTGGCTCTTTTTACTATTTGTATCACATTTACAGCCGTAGCATACATCTTGATCATTGTTACATTTTTTTATTTTGTGAATTACATTGATCATTGTTACATAATTTTCCCAAAAATGATAAAAAGGAATCAACTGACACAAATATATACTGTTTTTTACTACCATGTTTCTGCTAATTTACTATCATTGTTTGTCCACTTTCACTTAATACTATTTGAGTTGGAAAATGAGTTTTGTTGATTTCCACAAGGACAGTATGAACCTAACTCAACTGGTTGGGTGGGAGGTGTGGTCGTGCACCCAACCACCGAGGTTCAAGTCCTATCTCGGCTTGAATTTGGGTGCCTATTTCTGCTTATTTCTCTTTTTATTAATAATGAAAAACCACCTACTTCCTCCTAGGTTGGATCTCTTTTTTTAATCTTTTTAAATTATAATATGCACTACACACGTTTCAATGATTGTCTCCTTATATAACAAATGCCTTGTGCTCTACCAGGCCTGAGAGAACGTTTAACTTTGGCCTCGAAGGAGTTAATGATGTAAAAGTATGTATGGATAGCTCAAGAAGGTATGCTGGAAAACAATCCCCTGTTCTGTGGTTCAACTGTCATGAGCATTATAGACACAACCCATAAAGTATGGAAGCTTAAATAAATTACTACCTTCATCCCAGAAAATTTAACGTTATAGTTTTATCAAAGTCAAACTATCTTGTGTTTAACTAAGCTTGTAAAAAATAACAATTTTATATTACCAAATGAAGTATCATTAGATCCTTGGTTATGGTTATGGAAACCTCTTATCACTACCCTATGGCAATTTCCTTCTCAACCTCTACCCCAAAAGGTCAAGTGTTCAGGTTTGAAAACTTTTGGCTGCAACAACCAGGCTTTCAAGATCTCCTTCAGAAGGAATGTACAAATGATCAACATCATGGTGATTGTACAAAAACCATCACTTCCAAATTCAAAGCCCTGAGAAAAGCTTTGAAAGCTTGGCATTCAAATCTATCAAGCCTGAAAGCAAATATAGCTAATGTAAAGCTAGTTTCAGAGTTTCTGGAGACAATAGAAGATTTTAGGGACCTTAATATGGAGGAATGGAACTTTAGAGAGATATTTAGAACAAAACAATTTCACACTCTTGGAACAACAAAGAACATACCGGAGACAAAGGGGCTCCCTGAAATGGGTTAAGCTTGGTGATGCAGGCACAAATTTTTCCAAGCAAATGCAACAAATAGACAGAAAAAACTTCATTGCTAGATTGGCTTCTGACCCTAGCACCATTCTTCAACCCACTCAGAGAAGGAGCAACTTCTTTGGCAAGCTCTCAAATCAAGGCTTGGAACTTCTGAAATTAATGAGATGCAATTCAATTTGCAAGCTCTAATCCAACCCACTGATCATCTCCACTTTATAGAGGAAGAATTTACATAAGAAGAAATTGACAATGTGGTCAAATCCTTACCTAATGATAACTCATTTGGCCCAGATGGTTTCGCAAATGAATTTCTAAAAAAAATGTTGGCCCACCATTCATGCTGATTTCTATGATCTATGTAGGGCTTTTCATCAAAATAATCTCTGCCAACAGAGCATTAATTCCTCTTACATCACCTTGATCCCAAAGGTGGATACCCGCTTGACAGTTTCAGATTTCAAACCCATCTCCCTCCTAAACACTTCTATGAAATTGATTACAAAACTCCTGGCAAATAGGTTGCAAGGAATAATCAAGGGCCTTATCCATAAAAATCAATATGGCTTCATCAAAAGCAGGACAATCTAGGACTATCTTACATGGTCTTTTGAGTATCTACATTTGTGTCACCACTCCAAAAAAGAGATGGTGATCCTCAAACTTGACTTTGGAAAGGCTTTCGACAAAATTGAATATCAAACAATCATAAATCTTCTGGAAGCAAGAGGCTTTGGTAGGGTCTGACTTGCCTGGATCCAAAATATTTTTTATTCTGGCACATCAAAGGTTCTCCTCAATGATGTACGTGGGAAAACTATCCATTGTAGAAGAGGTGTTAGACAACAGGGACCCTCTCTCCCCCCTACTTTTTGTTCTTGCATAGACCTACAGCAATCCCTCCTAAACAAAGCTACAGAAATTGGCCTTTTAAAGCTACCCATCCCTCTCCTCTCTTCCCCACATTTTCCCATCATTCAATATGAAGATGACACTATGATCATTTTGGAAGGAGAAACCAAGCAACTCTTCTTGGAATCTGCCCTATACATTTTTGCGGAATGAACTGGACTTAAGGTCAACTACAGAAAATCTAGGATGTTCCCCCAATCAACTTGACAGAAGAAAAATTAAATCACCTTGCAAGCACTTTTGCTTGTGAGATTGGGTCCTTGCCTTTTACTTACCTAGGGGTCCCCCTTGGCCTTACCACACCCAGAGTTGAGGAATTTGTCCCTTTAGTAACCAAATGTGAGAGGAGACTAGCTAGCACTTCTGCTTTTGTCTCCCAGGCTGGAAGACTTGAAATCACTAATGCAGTCATATCTGCCCTCCCAACTTTCTACCTTTGCTCCCTCTGGAAAACACTGTTTATGGAGAGTTGCTGACTTGAACTCAAAAAAAGCACCAAAGGCAGCTTCGGACTTAGTTTGCTTACCCAAAAATGAAGAGGGGCTTGGAGTTCTGAATTTGAAAAAAAAAAAACACAATGAAGCTCTAATGATGAAGAATTGGAACAAGTTCTTTAATAAGCAGGACATCCCTTGGGTCTCTATTGTCTAGGAAAAACATTATCCAAATGGAAAGCTTCCCAAGCATAAAAAAGGATCCTTTTGGTGGAGAGAAAATCTAAAACTCCTGGAATCCTTTAAACCTTTAGCCATGAATCAAATCCAAAAAGGACAAATTTGCCTCTTTTGGCAGGATAATACTGGACGCAACAACCCCTCAAAGATGAATTTCTAGAACTTTACTCCTTTGGTAAGACAAGAAACATCTCAGTGCATAGCTTCTATGCCAAAGACCCCATAACAAGTGAATTCAACTTGCCCCTGTCTGCATAGGCATTACATCTGGGGACAAGACTTCTCATCAGCAAGAGCGTATGCAAATCTCATCGGGCACATACAAATTCATGAAGGATTCATTTGGCTTTGGAGAAGCTTTTACCAGCCTAAACACAAGGTTTTTTTTTCTGGCTCCTCATTAGGGATAGATTGAGCACAAGAAATATCCTCAAAAGAAAAAACATGTAGTTGGAATCCTACAATTGTGTGCTCTGTTAGGTCAATTCGGAGGAAACAATGTAACATTTGTTTCTAGAGTGCCCTTTTGCCAAAAGTTGCTGGAGACTGCTTAACATTAACTTCAGCCATGATTCAATATTCCCGGAAGCACTGCTACAAATCAAGGCACAATCACACCCACAAATTTTCATGTTAATAGCCATCCTAATGTGCTGGGTAATATGGACAGCGAGGGATGATCTCATCTTCAAAAACATACTGACAACAGTTAATGCAGCCAAGGAAACTTTCTTTAAGGAGTTAAAGCTACTGACGGCAAGAGGAAAAACCAAGGACTCAGGCATTTTTGGTCTATAGATTCAAAATTTGTTGTAATTTCTCTTTTATCTCTTATTTTCTTTCAGTCTTTCTTTTTTCTATTTCGTGCTGTACTTTAAATCCAACTCTTATTTCTAATAAGCTTCCTGTAGGGGTGCAAACCCCTCCAGTTTGATAAAAACACACGTCTAAAAGCAGATCAGAGCCTCTAGAGGGAGGGCGAGTTAGCCAATCTATCTCATGTTGTTCTTTTATCCATTCCCCAACCAATCTACCACAACATCTTTAGTATCAGAGACTTCGATCCTCGGTCCTGTGCCAGATCGCTCTCATTGCCGTCCTTCTGCTCTGCTAGCAACCACTGCCTTCAATGGGTGATTTCATCACCATCTCTGAGGGCCTCGACCACGTCTCTGCAGGGTATGATCGCCTTTCCACGTGGATCGGTCGTCTCTAAAAGACGTTCTTCCAACTCGGCGATCTAATGAAGACTTGACCACCACCACTATCAGCACCAACCATGGTGACGCGCTAGGTTGTTCCAACTCTGGCCTTGATGTACGGTCCACCAAAGCGCACGTCCTTCTCAGTCTTGGCCGCAACGTCTACCACACTGCTATTGTCTTCTCCATCAGCAGCCTCGCCAACAGCCACTCTCCGTCTATTGTGGCGGCATCCGCATTGTCTTTGCAGCTCCCAGATATGCCACCATCTCTGCCATCACCGCAACGTTTGTCAGCTGTGGACATGCCCGCCCCATCAGTATTGGCAACCTCTATATTACAATGGTTGGTTATAACAGGCAACATTGTGCCCACTTTTTTTTTAAAAGGTTAGCAGGGCAGGCCCCTACCTAATAATTTTTATACAAATATACTAGTGTAAAGTATATATGCAAAACTTTAAATAACACGTAGTACACTAGTACTTTATAAGACAAATTTAGTTATATTTTTATAAAAGTCAAATTAACATATTCACCAATATATATATTTTTTGAGCGTATTCACCAATATATATTAATGTACTACTACATAGTTTATTTATTAAACATATGCTGATTGCATGCAACCTGAAATGGCATTTTTTTTACTAGAGAGGGAGTGTTATCAGCTAGGTTTGTTATGTGACGATATAAGCCAAGTGGTTGTATAGAATCAAATTGCACAAATTAAGTATGCACTTTTTGTCTTGACAGCATGTTGGCTATGATAACGAGTGCCAACTGCACTTTTTTCGAGCTTTCTTCAATATTGACATAATCTTATTTGTCATGGTCTCCTGAGTTGTTTAAGATCCAACTTCATATCAAGCTTAACGAGCTGAGACGGAGTCGAAAGTCACTCAAAATCAACTCATTTTTATTTTACAAGAAAAATGAGTTCAATCGAGCATTTTTGAACGAGCCACCGAGCCAGCTCAACGAGCTTTTTGTCTGGCTTTAACCTCTATGCTCACGCCTCTTTATTTAGATTGTGCTCTTTGATCACATGTAAAACTTCTAATCGGCAACATCTTAATCAGTTACAGGGTAGTGATTGCACACTGGAACGGATTGGCAATGATAGAAATCGACCAAAATGATCTAGTTGTTGTGAACACTGGCAGCAGCAGTGAAGAAAATGATTTAGTTGGCTCAAGAAAAAGAAAACTATCGGAGCCAGATCAGTCGGAGATAGAAAATGAAGAAAATGATTTTGTTGTCGATGTCATGGACACTGGTAATGGCGCAGAGCAGACGCAGGGCAATGGGTCAACGGATGAAGAGGTAGCTGCATGCACACATGTCAACACATCTTTTTCATGTGGGTGCATGATACTGTATATGTTTCTGATGTCCTGTATCCTTACCGATCTTTTTTTTTGTCCCTTCTTGTAGATACATTCTGTCTCCAGTAACCTGCTCGACGTTTACCCTGGGAAGCTTCAGCTACCATTTAAGCCCAATAAGCTGACGTCTTGTTCAGTAAAGCTGAGAAACACGACGGATGACCACATTGCTGTCAGGCTTCTGACGAAGTGCCCGAAGAGATACATGGCAAAGATGCCACTTTGTTGCATTGTGCCGCCAAATTGCATGTACACATTCATAGTGACAGGTAGCGATCAGAAGAAGAGACCCCTGCTGAGCAGGGACGAGTTTCTCACCCTAGAAAGCACCATTTGCTTGAAAGAAGATATTGTTGGGCTGCAGAATGCTAATGTAGACTCAGCGGCCATGGAGTTTACCAACTTCTTTAAAGAAGCCAAAGAGATGGCAGCTGATAAGCAGGTGCATGAGCTAAAGTTAAGTGTTGTTTCTGACCCACTAAAAGAGACAACCTCTATTCAGGTAAACACTTCCACTATTTATGTAGTACTTCCTCTGTCCTAAATTATAAGATGTTTTGGCATTTCTAGATTCATAACTTTTACTATATATCTAGACATAATATATATCTACGTGTATAGCAAAAGCTATGAATCTAGAAAAGCCAAAACATCTTATAATTTGGAACGGAGGGAGTATATATATGTTAGACTTAAGCACCTAATACATGTATTCGTATTGTATTCCTTTTTTATCATTTAATGGTGGTGAACTGGTGATGTGGTAGCAGCAACAGTCAGAAGTTGAGGTAATTTGCCTCCATTTGTTTCAACCATTGCCTCTTTGTTACAGCTGTTGACATTTTTCACCAATTAATGTTGCTCTGTGTTTCGGTTGAATCAGGTCGTATCCAATAGGAAGTTTTCACATGTGCTGTCTGTGGACGTGCATCCGACGGAACCATGGTTACCTCCTGTCTTACAACATAGCGACCGAGATGATTTATTAAGTCTTTTTCACTTAACATTTCCTTTGTGCGTGCAGGATTCTGACGACCAATCAAGCCGGAGAGGTTCGCATTTGGGACTACAAAGCGCAGGTAAGTAGTAGGTTGCTGCTCGATCTCATCTGCTCATCTCTACAATGGTGGCAAGTTCTGTTGCTTTGTAAATTTTCAATTGGTTACATTGAATATGCTCATTTATGTGCAGGCCATAGCTATATCCTTTGACTTCACAGAGGAACAAGGTATCCTTTATGACATTACTATTTCCATTTATACTTTTTCTTTTTTTAAAAAAAAAGAGAGAGAAGAAACATGATTCTCTCGTGAAATAAGAAAACATTTAAGTTCCGTTTACTCCATGACAAATAACACATATGCATAATATTATTTCATTGCAAATACAGTTTACTCTGCTAAATTCATTGTGGGAGAGGAATGGATTGTCGCTGGTGATGGCTACGGGACTATCTATGTATACAGTTACCAAACAGAGGAGGAAGTTACAAACATCGATGCTCACGATAGTGAGATCACGTCTTTGGCTGTGCATCCCACTGATCCTCTTGTGCTCTCGTCATCCGAGGATCACCTGATAAAGCTCTGGGACTGGAAGAAGAACTGGGAGTGTACTCGAACATTTGAGGGACACTCCGACAGAGTAACACATGTAAATTTTAACCCAATAGGCACCAGCAGTTTTGTATCTGCTTCCTTGGATCACACAATCAAGGTTTGACTTCGATTTTGATCTTATCTACAAAAAAGGTTTTCCTGCATAATCAGTGCCTATGCACAAAACAAATATTACTAATTCAATCCTTGGAGAGTTCAACAGATTGTTCTATGCTTTGCTTTGCAGGTTTGGAACATTTCTTCTCCTGAGAGCATCATCACGACGCTGTCTGATCACCCGGATGGCCTGGTTTGTATTCACAGTTACAGAAGTGATATGAAGCAGTATTTGATTGTTGGATCTTGTGATGGGACTGCACAAGTATATCATCTTTACTGAAGAATACACTCACTGTGTTGTTTAGCATAAAAAGTACTACAGTACTTCATTGACATCATCTTTGCTAATTAGATCTGGGACATGGAGACGAGAAGACTTGTTCAGACACTCAAAGGGCATGCACGTCATATTAGTTGTGTCTACCATCACCCAGAACTTCCAGTAGTAATCACAGGTTCACATGATGGGACTGTTCGTTTATGGAACTCCACTACCTACAGGTACATTGAAATACTTGTTTTTCTGTCATTTTATTGGAGGGTTCTAGGAAGACGCTTCAGCAATACTTCCGCTGTGTACATGTTGTTTAGGTGTTTAGTTCATAATATGTAGATCTAAGTAGTTAGTGAAAGGTTGGAAGTTTTTTCTTACAGTTTTAGTAGTTTCACTTGTGAGATGCAGGCGACAGACCAAAGAACATGCAAAAATTAACTTCTTATGATAGATATATTGATAGAAAGTAAAATATTATGTGTTATCTAGATAAATAAAATTTCGTAAACCATGGATCTTAATATGGTGCATATAGTTGGTATTAACCTTGGTGTAGTTGGTATTAACAATCCCAAAGTTGCAAGTTAATTTTTGTAGTTTTCATAACAGCTATCTTTTTAATCTTTCAGGCTCGAAAGTATAGTTGGTATTAACCTTGGTGTAGTTCATGCTCTTGGATATATCAAAGACTTAAGAAGGTAATGGATTGTTTTAGTTTCTTTTATATTACTATATATCACCAATTGAAAAGAAAAATATAATTTAATGCTTTCTACATTTATGCATTGCTTCAACAACTTCATATTGTAGTATGCTTGACACCTCATTAAAATCAATACATATATTTGTAACATTTTGATAGAAACATTCGCAAGGTATGAATGGCTAGGATTACAATCATTAATTAATATGCTTTGATGTATCATTTTTTCAAAGAGAGTATCTATAAACTAAAACTTTCAATCATATTTTCGAAGGAACCATGAAATGATAATGTTCTAACCCACAACACTCCTTCAGTTAAAACCGGCCACTGAACTAATAAACAAGAAAAATTGTCAATTTTTTTTGCAAAGTTGTATGTTTGTACTCCTTTTTATTAGACAAATTTGGCGAAGATTCTAATGTGAAATCATATATGCGCCCAGTTAAAGTCCTAGACTCTATAGTAGCACTGACCTTCCTAGGAATTTTAATTCCATGTTGGATGCATTTGTATGCATATAGCATTCTTTGTGTTAAAGCATCTGACTTATTTTTTTTCTAAGAAAATAAAAAAATAATATTTGAATATTAAATTGACTTGTTTTTAGCTAGAAACTATCCAAGAAGAATGAACTATTTGCACCAAAAGTTTAGGTTCTAAAAAGAGGTTGAGATAGCCATTGCAAAACGGTTGCCAACACATAGCCTTAGCCTGTTAATCTATTTTTGTGTAACACCATACATCTAAAGTTTGCTCTGAGGCTAACCCTGCATATGTATAGCATTCCTCTTATAGTGTCATCCTAACTTCATATAAAAGTATTAATTTTTGAATACAGTACATTTGTAACGACATCGATCATAAACCAGCTAGTACCTATTTAGACAACCAAATTACCACTATTCATCTCACCATACTAGAACATTTGTGCGATACATGCCAAGACTAGAGCATTTTTTTTTCTCGAACAGCGCAGGAGAACTGCGCGTCATTTCATTAAGGTAGAGGAAAAATTACAAAGGTCCAAGTGACCCACCACACACACCCCACTCCCCAGAACTAGGTTACAGACTCGCCACACAAAAAGGAAAAAAGGACGACCAAACTTCTCCAAGCATTAAGCTCCAGAAGGCATCAACCTGAAAACCAGCTCCTGGAGTTTGGAGGCCCGGCCGAGCACCAGAGCCCACCCTCCGAGCTAATAGCCCTAAGGACTTCCTGAACACTTGGCCTCTTTTTATCAAAGACACAAGAATTGCGATGCTTCCAAATCTCCCAAGCCACCAAAATTATCAAGGAGTTGAGGCCTTTACGCAAATCCTTAGGGACAGCCGCAGTTGTTCTCTTCCACCACCCTGAGAAACGAATCACAGTAGGCTATGGTGCCAACTGTAGCATTCCCAACTGATGCAAAACCAGGGCCCAAATTTGCCGGGCAAAAACATAGCCCACTAGCAAATGGTTTATTGTTTCATCCTCTTGATCACATAATGGGCAAGCCTCAGGATGGGGCAGATTCCTCCTTGCAAGTCTATCGGCTGTCCAGACCCGGTTGTGAAATACCAACCAGATGAAGAACTTGCAGCGCGGAGGAGCCCAAGTTTTCCAGATCCTTCTCCAAGACCCAAACTTGATGGTTCCCTCAAAGAAGGCTGCATAAGCGGATTTACTGGTGTAGGAACCATCCTGAGTTAATTTCCATCTATATTGATCTAGAATCTCCGGATGCAAAATAAATCCATCCGCAATGTCCCAAATATGAAGGTACTCAAGCCTGACCACAACTGTACGTGCTCCTTTAATATCCTGAACCCAACTATTATGATGCAAGGCTTGCGCCACCGTCCTTCTCTTGGCTGTTCGATTTGGGACTGCCTTGAACAGGTTAGGAGCTATTTCAGCCATGGTATGCCCCCCCAGCCATCTATCTTTCCAGAACAATATCTCCTCTCCATTTCCTACTATGGCATCGACTGCAACATTGAAGAGAGCCTCGGCTTTATGAGGAACAGAGATAGGAAGGCCGGCCCAAGGCCTTTCAGCATCTGTCTTTTGCGCCCACAGCCACCGAATCTTCAATGCACATCCCAGAAGTTCAAGATTATGAATGCCAAGACCTCCATACTCAAGTGGTCTTTGCACCTTTTCCCAAGCTACTAGGCAATTGCCACCATTGGCCTGCTGGTGACCCTTCCAAAGGAAGGCTCGCCGTTTTTTGTCAATAGCCTTAATCACACATTTTGGAAGGTCCAGGGCAGTTAAAAGGTATATTGGGACAGCAGTCAGCACAACCTTCACCATGACTAGCTGCCCAGCTCTGTTCATAAGAGAAGCCTTCCATCCAGGGAGATAATCTGTCACTTTATCCACTAAAGGTAACAGCACCTCTTTAGTTGGTTTTCCAATTGAGAGCGGGAGGCCAAGATACATGCAGGGAAAAAACTTTATAGAACATGAGAGGATGTCTGCCGTGAGAGCCAATTCCTCATCAGTACAGTGAATAGGGGAAACTGAGCTCTTAGCTAGATTAGTTCTAAGCCCAGAAGCATGTCCAAACAGATCTAGGAGGTGCTTGATGGTGATCAGATCCAAAATATATGGTCTCAGGAAAATTACCGCGTCGTCAGCATAAAAGGAGACCCGATGCCTTGCTTGCTGAATGGCCAGAGGCTGCAACAAACCCATCGAAGTAGCGTGATTGACCAAAGAATTTAGGACATCCATAACTAGGATAAACAACATTGGTGACAGCGGGTCACCCTGTCTGAGCCCACGGTGATGGAAAATAGAGTCCCCAGGCTTTCCATTAACCAAGACATGTGTCGAAGAAGTGGACAGGATCAGACAAATGAGGTCCCGCCATCGCTGACCAAACCCCACCTTGCACATGACCTCCAAGAGAAACGACCAAGACACAGAATCAAAAGCCTTGGAGATGTCCAGTTTAAGGAGGATATGCGCCTCTTTCTTCTTATGCAGGGTTTTAACCATCTGTTGGACCAGCATGAAATTGTCATGGATTTTCCTTCCTCTCACAAAAGCGCTCTGATTTGCAGAGATCAAGGAAGGCAACATAGGGGCTAGCTGATTAGCCAAGATCTTCGTCACCAACTTGGCAAAGCTATGAATCAGGCTTATAGGTCGAAAATCCTTCACTTCCACTGCATCCACTTTCTTTGGTAGCAGGGTTATAAAGGCTGTGTTCAAGAGCCGAAATTTGAAGACATGGCCTTGCTGGATGGCCTCCAACGCCCTCATCACATCACCTTTAATAATGCTCCAGCAGGATTTATAAAACCTTCCTGTGATCCGGCCCTGGGGCCTTATCCAAGGGCATATCTTTTATGGTAGCCCACACTTCCTCCTCAGAGAAAGAAGCATCCAGCTCAGATAAATTATGATGTTGAATGTTCAAAATATCTAGATCAAGAGTGAAATCTCTTTCTTCAGCTGTTCCAAGAATGCTCTCATAGAAATCGTCCACTGCTTTCTGTTTCTCATCTTGTGTGACAACCACCTGATTACCAACTTGCAATTTTGAGATGAAGTTCTTCTTCCTGTATCTAGCTTGTTGGTGGAAGAAAGCAGTATTGGCGTCACCTTCCCGGAGATAAAGAAATCTAGAATGTAGCCGTGCAATGGTTCTCTCAAGGGAAGCCAGACCGAGACAATGAAGTTTGAGTTTCTTTCTGAGCCATTCCTCACGATCAGAGAGTGCCCTTGAATCTCTTTCAATTTCCAAACGGTGAAGTATTTCCTTGGCCAATTCTAATTGGGCTTTAATATTCCCTACTTTCCGTTGTCCCCATTTTTGCAGCCCCTTACTGAGCCGCTGCAATTTAAGGAAGATGCACTCCACAGCACAAGTAGACTGCACTGCAGCCTCCCAATTCTGTTTAACAGCATCAAGAAAGCCAGGCAATTTGGTCCAGAAGCTTTCAAAATGGAATCTTCGCTTGCCAGATGTACACACCTTCAAACCAAGGATAAGTGGGCAGTGGTCTGAAACCCCGGCTGCTGTGCTTTGGAGTACAGCATCAGGAAAAATATTTTCCCAATCACCACAACAAAAAGCCCGATCCAGCCTCACCAAAGTAGGCGATCTCCTCTCATTGGACCAAGTATATTTACGACCCAAGAGCGGAATCTCCTTGAGATCATTGTCATCTAGAAAACGCCTGAATCTTCCCATCATAGCTCTATCTAAATTTGCATTATTCTTGTCAGCAGCCTGATAAATCAAATTGAAATCTCCGCCTAAGAGCCAAGGACCATTGCAAAGAGCCCTGATATTCCTTAATTCTTGCAAGAACAACACTTTCTCATCATCCCCTTGTGTCCCATAGACGCCAGTGAATCACCAATTGTGACCCTCTTGCTCCGCAAACAGAACAGAAGCTGAATAAGTATCAATTCTTGATGCAATTGCCTGGCAAGAACACCCCTTCCAAGCAATCAGAACCCCTCCTCTAGTCCCATTGGCCGGGAGCGCAATGAAATTATCGTACGCAGAGCCACAAACCGAAAGGAGAAGATGTTGGGACATGTTAGCGACCTTGGTTTCTTGTAAACAGATGATGTCAGCATTACTAGATATAACAACATCTCTGACATAATTCCGACGATCCCTGTTATTAAGACCTCGGACATTCCAAACTAGAATGGTAGAAGGATTCATTTGAGCAAAGAAATAAGATGACCATAACAAAGAGTCTAACCTTACAACATTGTAAGGACATCTTCAGCCCGCACCTGCTCACCCTCTCCCACTTCCCAGCCAAAAATAGCAGCTAAAGCACAGACGTGGGAATCAGAGAGTAATGGCCCGAAGAGCTTACTATAAATGTCTTGAGCTTCTGGCTGAATGATCTCCCTTTCTTCAAAGCCAAGCTGCCGCATCACCCTCATCTGAGCCACTGAAAGCACCGGTCCCGGCGAGCATGGAGCGGCACCAGCGACCCGCCTGCTGCGCCGCGGTAGAGACCCCGGAGGAGCAGCCTTTTTTCACCGCTTCTGGATTACAGGCAGAGGGACGAGCCTGTCCACCGGCTTGCGCACCTTGTCGAGATTCTGGAGCCGGGACTTCGCCCCTGAACCCAGGGAAGGAGCATCCGCAACGGCCGGGGAAGCTGGGGCAGGGGACGTAACACGGCGCCGCCGCCTGGAGTAAACTCGGACATGCGCCCCCCAGCATGTAGAGGTTGAGCAGGCGGCGAGGCAGAAGACTAGAGCATTAATAGTCTAGTCTACATACACAGTATGTTTGTTAGTTGTTTAACTTTTAATTGGTTCTAAGATTGTTTGGAACTTGTAATACCGTCGTATACTCCAATTTATCATGAATATTTGGCTAGCATAATGTTCATCTAATGAAGCATATATTAACTGTGTGTAGGATTGCGATCGGTTGTCGCAAAGGAATAGCCATCATGGGAGTGAACTACAGTTAAGACCATTATGTGTGCAGAACACGACAGAGATAATAACTATTGTGACGCAAACACTATTAGTTTTATTAGTGTTTGTTGCGAGAAAATACTTATGGCGTGACAATAAATGTATAACATAATTTTATTTGAGTGGACATAATTTTATTTGAGTGGTGGATGTGGTCTTCATCTTTCTTTTGATTTTTTGTGTGGTTAAAGAGGGTATCGATCTCTATTGTTATAGTAAGTAGAGTTTTTTTCCCCGCCACGCATTATGCACATTGAACCAGCAAAAACCTGGCCAAGAAAACTATGTGCCTTGTCCTCGAACTAGATTCTAGACATTTGAGCTGGCTGTGAACAGCTATGTCTGAATTGGAGCTGGCCGCATGGCCGCTCAATGATCACTCGATAGTGGAAAAAAGTAAAAACAATATAAGACGACATCGCCATGTCTAAATTGAAGCTGACTGCATGCCCGCTCGATGAGCACTCGAAAAACTAGAAAACAATATAAGTCGACAAAAAGAGGTTTGAAATCAATTCTTGGAAAACACGGTTTCATACCACCACATAACATGTTACTTCACAATTAAATAAAATCAACAATGTAGACATGTTACAAATGCTCAAAGCTTGATCCTAGCTCTTCCACCTCATCTTGTCTTATTTATTTTTTTTGATAAAGAAGAATTTCATTATTGTTTTTAAAAATATTACATCGAGATGACACAAAACCTTGAAAAAAAAATAGTTGGTAGCCCAGCTTTCCTTAAAGGTTTGTGCTAGTGAGAAATTCCTTGCTCTAAGTCTCACAGAAGCTGGTAAGGTTAGGCTGGCTTTGCTGGTAACTTAAGAGCATCTCCAAGAGTACCAAATTTATTCCCAAACCATTAAGTTTTCTAAGTCACCAAAAAAATTTCGGAGCACCAACCAGTAAAGAATAGTTTCTCCAACAGTTTACAAAAAATCACTCCTTAAAAATATAAAAAAACTTGGTCCCACACAAAACTTCCACTGCGACGGCCCCGGCCGCCGCCCGACATAGGATCACCTTCGCGTGCCCTTTGAGCGTGCCAGTAAATCCCGGATTGGGAGAGTGTTTTGGGTACTCTTGAAGATGCTCTTAGAACCCAGTAGTCTCTCTCTCCATTAGTGGTTGCCGAGAAGATACAAAATATTAATAAGGAAATTGAAAAGGTGGAAAAACAGCCAAAACAGAAAAACGATCTACAGTATGAGTATCGTGCAAGTAGAGTACTCTGGTGAAAGAGTAAAATTCACCGTCGGTCCTTAAGCTTGGCCGACGATGTCATCCTAGTCCTTGAACTTTCAAAGTGATATATGTGGATCCCTAAACTTGGCCAACGGTGTCGTTCCAGTCCATTAACTTCTATGGTGATCATCGTCGGTCTCTAAACTTGGCTAGTGGTGTCATTAGAGACCCTAAACTTGGTTTTGAATCTCATCCGAGTCCAAATGGGGCTAACCCACTCTATACGCTGATGTGGCATGCTGACTTTTCTAGAAAACAATTATAACTTTTCATATGAACTCGGGTGAAGACAAATTTTATATAAAAATTGCAGCTCTCCACGAGATCTACAACTTTGTAACTGAAATGTTTTTGAATTGAAATTGTTTAGGGTCTCAAAATATTGTTGTAATTTCACATATTTTGAAATTGAAATTTAAAATTATCAAACAATCTCAGATGTTGACATGGTCTATATGAAAATTATAGTTTTCAATATGATTTACAACTTTGTGGTTGAAAAGTTTTCATTTAAAGTCGTCTAGTGTCCTAAATATGTGTTCTAAGTTTATAGATTTTGAAACAAAAAAAACTTAGAACACATATTTGAGACACTAAACGACTTCTAAAAAAATCCTTTCAACTACAAAGTTGTAGATCGTATTGAGAACTATAACTTTCAAATAGACCATATCAACATCCGAGATTATTTAATAATTTTAAATTTTAAAATAGTTGCCTGTAAAGAAAATTAAACGACTGCTATCTACTTGACAAGTGACTAGTTTATAGATTCTTTGTACTTAATATATTTTCTCAGTCTATTGCATGAAATTCAAGAAACACTTCAATCTATCAAAGATAGATCTAATCTCGAGAAAATATGAGAACTGGGTTAGGAATTATATTATAATTTTAGTTGTTCTGTCCAAAACTCCAAATCTCTCCTAGTAACTCTTGGATTCCTCCTTTCTCTTAACTGCTTCAGATTTTCAGGGTCCTCAGGGCAAGGAGACTGGAAGAGTAATGTCAAGCAACAATGAGATATTAATGGAGGATGAAGTGAATCACGGGGGAGGTCTTACTTCCTATCACAGGATTCCGACCTCAAGAAAGGATGTAGCCATTAGCTGGTTTGACCAGTTTAGCCTTTTTGGACGTGAGTCACAAATGAATGAACTTCGTAACTATCAGACCACAGCACGTTTCAATGATTGGCAAGTGATGTCTGTGTGTGGGGTAGCAGGTGTTGGGAAATCAGTTCTAGTCAGAAATTTGTATTATGAAAGAATGCTTCAAAAGGACCCAATATTTAACAAGTATGGTTGGGTTCGGTATCCCATCCATTCAATCTGAGGGACTTCTCTCGAGCTTAGTTTTGGATTTTCATTCAGAACCTATTGAAACCTTGGGAATCAAGACCCTATTCAGGAATGCCATAAGCTTCTAAAAGAACATCCGTGTCTTGTTGTTATTGATGATGTACAGTCTACAGAAGAATGGGATTTAATACAACCTTCCCTGGTATCTAGACATTCCAAGAGTGTTATCGTTGTCATCACAAATCAAGAAAGCATTGCTACATATTGTGCAGACAATGAAGAGGTTGTGTTTAACGTGAAGGGCCTAGAAGCTCAAGCATCCTTGGATCTCTTCAGAAAAGAGGTATTCTTAATCATAAGAAACATTCATGTTTTCTAGATACTTGAATCTATTGTCCTGCATGAGTCTTACCACAAACATAGCATCTCATTCGCAACTACCAGTTGTTTCTCATTCATCCACAGTTACGGACATTAAGAAATAAGGAGTGATTACAATCTCATCCATATCATGTTGGTCGATACTCAATAATCTTTTATTCACGGCTGCATCCTAGATAGATGGTTTGCCATTTTACAGGAGTTTGAATGTTGTTTGCAAAAATAGTAAAAAAATTAAACTTAGTCCACGCAATGCTGAGGAATGCAGATGGTTTTTTCTATCATATTGCCAACAATTCCAAACATGTTTCACCCAACAGTTCCAAGTAATCTATCTAGTGGAAGTATGAAACTGCAATTAGTTTGCCCAGAAGTATAGCATGTAGGAGAGGAGAGTAAATCAAAACAGGGTGCTCTATCTTTTTCTTAGGTTTATTGTCTGCCAAGGGGTGATATGCTTTTGCACCATAAAGCTCATAAGTTTGGCTGAAATCTGCCACTTGTGTTTCAATTTTCTGCAACAATTTCTTTCCAACAATAATGTCTAACAAATAGATTGTTATTTGGAACTACTAATCTGGAGAGCACCTTTTACTGTACACCATACTACTAGTTGGTAGTGGAACACAAACTGTTCTGTTCATTGATTTCACAACACAATACAGAGCTCAGACAGACATTTAGGAGGTGAACCATGTATCTGTTCTCCAAAGTGTTAAGATTAGTTCTCCATTTCACAAGTTGTTACTTTACTTTACAAAGCTTTGTTTTCCTTAACATGGAATTCATGTATGGTTTTTAGGAAGGACATCATGATGTAAAGGATTATGTATACTCTTAACCATGCTCCTGCATGGGATATTGACATGTGCTTCTCAATTAATCAAGCATTTATAATCCAGTGCACTTATTCAAATAATTTTGAGAACAAATAGGCGTGTCATCATCCTGTGTGGCCAAATTATTTTACTAATAATCTACCCAATGGTACACATGTATATGTGGGGCCAAATTATTTTTACTATGATTGATCACATAGCTACAAAACATTTATGTTGGCCGTGTCATGCATATAATATTTTTTAGGATTCTTATAGTCTTTAGATAATTCTATGTTTCCTCACTTGACCATTTTATTTTTGTTTCGTGTTCCATTGGCCTTTCTAATGTATCAAGCGCAATTCATCATGAAAATTCATTTTATATGACACAAATAATACCTAATGTATTTTGTGTTTACCAAAATGACTAAGATCATTCAAATTTCTTTACAACAGGTACAAGATAAAAACCTGGCATCACCTCTAAAGAATTCAGATGACAAAGAGCTAGAACAACCTATTGTGAAGTGTGGTAGACTTCCTAAAGTAATAATTGCTGTAGCCAAGTTTTTGGCACCCAAGACAGTCACATGTATGGAGAGCACTAGAACGCTTAATTGCAGATTTATGCACGAGCTAGAGAGCAACCCTGAGTTTCATGGTCTGAGAGATCTGTTTGGTTGGATGCATTCCTACTTCCGTACATGCCCAGATTTCCTAAGGCCATGTAATATTCCCTGGGTCCCAAATCATTCGGCGGAGGCGTTTGGTGATGCGATGGGTTGCTGAGGGCTACTTCAGGGACACTAAAGACACTACTGCAGAGGAGAAAGGGGAGATCCTCTTCTCAATGCTCGTCAACCTGAGCATGATCCAGCCACTAATGTGCAAAGCCTGAGAATGATCCGATGCCAAGTCAGTGCTTTCTTCCACGAATACATCATCTCACGTCCAGACGAAGAGAATATTATATTTGCACTGGAGGTCTTTGCACTGAAGGGGCGTTGCCTTCCAACCACCCGGCGCACAGGACGCCACCTTGTAATAGAGAGCAGCTGGGACAGAGACAGGATTGTGTTTGAAAGCATTGATTTTTCACGTTTACGGTCATTAACAGTGTTTGGGGAGTGGGAATCATTCTTCATCTCTAAAAGTATGAAGGTGCTTCGAGTGCTCGATCTGGAGAATGCAACAGGTGTGACAGATAAAGATCTCAAGCTAATGGTGAAGCTTCTTCCTCGTCTCAAGTTTCTATCTCTGCGAGGAAGCAGTGGGATCCGCCATCTGCCGAGTTCATTGGGTGAGTTACGGCAGCTTGAGACTCTGGATGTCAGGCATACCTCCATAGTTACCTTGCCAGCATCTATCACCAAGTTAAAGAAACTGCAGTACATTCGTGCTGGCACAACTTTCCCAGCAGGGGAACCATCAACACCATGCAGATCTCATAAATTAGTTGGTGTTGAGGTGCCAGTAGGTATTGACAAGCTGACTGCTTTGCACACGCTTGGTGTTGTCAATGCTGGTTTTGCAGGGGGCAAAGACTCCCTCAAAGAGCTCAAGAAGATTACCCAATTGCGCAAGCTTGGAGTGTTCGGTGTCAACAAGAAAAACTGCACGGAGTTCTGTGCTGCCATTGCATGCCGTGTCCGTCTGGAATCCTTGTCAGTGTGGCTCAGCAAGGGCAATGAAGAATGTTTGGATGACATTTCCATGCATCTGGAGAAGCCTCTAGAGAAAATTCAGCAGCAGCCCCAGGGGAAGGGTCTGGAGAAGCCTCAGCATAAGGCCCAGGAGAAGCCTCAGCAGAAGACTCAGGGGAAACCTCTAGGGAACCTTCAGAGCCTTAAGCTACGAGGTCTTGTAAAACAAGTGCCATCATGGATCAAAGATCTTCTGAAACTCACAAAGTTGGAACTGGAGATAACCATGTCAGAAGAAGTTGAAGTAATTAATGTTCTTGGGGAAATAAAAGAATTATGTATTCTACGTCTTTGTGTCAAGCCTCTTCAAGATGCTGATGGCAAGCTTGATTTTTGTGTCTGGGTGAATGGAATACAGCAGCGCTGCTATTTAAACTTCAAGATCCTCGAGATTACTTGCAGCTCAAAGTTAAATATATGCTTTGGATCAGAAGCAATGCAAAATCTTGAGCTGCTGACAGCTCGCTGCTGTAGTGGGTCAACATTGAAATTTATGGAGATAAAGAATCTCTCTAAACAAAAACTCAAGGAAGTCCGGCTTATCAGTTCCCATGACACTGCACTCAAGGATGACATTGAGAAGCAACTAGAGGAGCATCCAAGGAATCCTCCTTTGAAGCTGGAGGAACTGGAAGGACGCTGAGCTCACAGTGATCAATGTGTCGTCCCAGGCATCTACAGAACTATGTTCACTTATTTTTCTTTGTTTTCCCTGCCAATTGATCCAGTACTGCAATACATCCTTCATGCCAGTGGAAACTGAAACATCTGCTTCCTTCAAGGTGTCAGGATAATTGGCACTTATCCTATGGGTAACATCGCCAGGAGAAGACATATTCAGTTCAGTTCAGTTCATTTACTCTGTACTTGAAACGTGGAGCTTGAGCTTATGTATCTTCATAAAGAATGCTCTCTTGTTTGTGTGCATGTTTATGGATTTGACTTTTACGTTGGTGTTGTAATCGTTTTGTAATTTTGTGTAACGATAATACCAACTGAATCCTGATTTTTCTCTTTGCTCCTTTTGTAATGTTCTTTAGATGGCTTTATTGTTCTTATTAGTCGCAAATTTTCGTCTAAATATAATATTGTTTGTGAATGGAATACAGCAGCGCTGTTATTTAAACCTCAAGATCCTCGAGATTACTTGCACCTCAAAGTTAAATATATCCTTTGGATCAGAAGCAATGCAAAATCTTGAGCTGCTGACAGCTCGCTGCTGTAGTGGGTCTACATTGAACTTTATGGAGATAAAGAATCTCTCTAAACAAAAACTCAAGGAAGTACGGCTTATTGGTTCCCATGACACTGCACTCAAGGATGACATGGAGAAACAACTGAAGGAGCATCCAAGGGAACCTCCTTTGAAGCTGGAGGAACTGGAAGGATGCTGAGCTCACAGTGATCAATGTGTCGCCCCTGGCATCTACAAAACTCTGTTCATTTATTTTTCTTTCTTTTCCCTACAACTTGATTCAGTGATCCAGATCTGCAATACATCTGTCATGCCAGTGGAAACAGGAACATCTGCTTCCTTCAAGATATCAAGATAATTGGCACTTATCCTATGTGTAACATCGCTAGGAGAAGACATATTCAGTTCAGTTCATTTACTCTGTACTTGAAACGTTGAGCTTGAGCTTATGTATCTTCATAAAGAATGCTCTCTTGTTTGTGTGCATGTTTATGGATTTGACTTTTACGTTGGTGTTGTAATCGTTTTGTAATTTTGTGTAACGATAATACCAACTGAATCCTGATTTTTCTCTTTGCTCCTTTTGTAATGTTCTTTAGATGGCTTTATTGTTCTTATTAGTTGCAAATTTTCATCTAAATATAATATTGTTTGTGAATGGAATACAGCAGCGCTGTTATTTAAACCTCAAGATCCTCGAGATTACTTGCAGCTCAAAGTTAAATATATCCTTTGGATCAGAAGCAATGCAAAATCTAGAGCTGCTGACAGCTCGCTGCTGTAGTGGGTATACATTGAACTTTATGGAGATAAAGAATCTCCATAAAGTCAAATCCAACTGTATCCTGAGTTTTCTCTTTGCTCCTTTTATAGTGTTCTGTACATGGCTTTATTGTTCTGTACTTGCGCGCTTCGTCGAGCGGCGTAGTGCCCCATGCCTCCTCTGCACACCGTCCGCCATACTAGCTCTGCACCACTCCTGCCCTCAAGGAACGCACGGCTCGCGCTCGCCCTCGCCGTCACGGCTTGCTGGCCGCACGCAGGCCCCGCCCTCCCAAAGCAGGAGGACGACGATGCGGCCACGACGTCCTCAGTCTCCTTGGCCTCTTCCGCCTCGTCTCTCTTGGCGGCCGCCACATCTGTTGTGCGCGTCGCGTGTGGAAGGAGGAGCAGGAGCTGCGGTGGTTCCCGCCAGTGGAGGCGCGGTAGGAAGCGGCGGCGGTTGCAAGCGTGGTATGAGCGTGAGTGGCGGCGGCAAGACCGGTAGGAGCGCAGGAGTGGTGTGTGCGATGGTGGAGTGTGTTATCCTCGTGGTCGTGCACATGCTCGTCACGTTGTGCTAGCGCGTGTTCTCTTCCTGGCTGCAAGGGGTACCATGCCAAGTTGACATGCCAAGTAAGCAAGAAAACACTGACGGAGCTTTATGGACCCACGGCGTACCATTTAACAAGTTATGTGATCCATAAATACATTTTAAAAGTCCATGGAGCTAAGTGGTACATCATGACAAGTTCATGGCCCCTGGTACATTTAACTCTTAATTTTGTAAAAGCAGGCATTATTAAGAAATAGTTTACGTAGGTGGCTCGCCATCACGCGCGCACATGTTCAGACTCTGAAGTCTTCCAGTCAATGAATGAAATTAGGAAGGGAGTTCAGGGGCGACCTCCTGCTTAGCACTAGCAGTATCCAGTTCCAATGCATGCCCTTCCTAACCAGTTTATTCAGGCTGTAGCTGGTTGTGTGTACGCTGCTGTCATTGTTATTTTTTTTTCTCAGTTTTCTTCTCCTGCTGTATCGATTTTCCTACTGAACTCGAGCGGATATCGATTTTTCCCAGGAACTCTATTTCTTTGCTTTGGTGCATCCCTGGTACACGTTGTGTACTTGTCTACTTGAGCAGATTCAGACTTGCAGTGTAGTCCGTTTGTGGTTTCTACATTCTACTCCCCGATTCTGTGAATTAATGTTCCCTAACGGCGAAAGTCCGTTGAAATTAGTCTGCGCTGTGAATCTGGATCGTCAAGGTTGTTTTGACCTTGGTCGATTGTGTTGCTTCCCCTCCGTCTTCCCTGAATCGATCTGCCGAGCTGCAGAGGAATTCCTCTCGCCTTCCTATAACCTAATTTCCTCGCTCCGTTGACTCTGCTCAACTCGTCTGGACATTGATTCAGTTCAGCTTGAGGGCTCACTTGCTGTCTTCTCTTTGTTCGTCATTTCTGATTGAACATTCTTCGCAGTTCAGATGTGTCCTGTTCCACCGGTGAGTTGACCGACCCATTGCCTTGTTGCTGGGGATGCTGGTAAGTCACTCAGCTTGGATCTAAACAAGCGATTGTAGCAGGATACTAATTGTTGCTTACAGTCAGGATGAGCATTCAGGCCTTGTGATTTCGCACCATTTATGTGCATGATAAAACTGAAGAGGAGAAGATTGTTCAGTCCAGAGTGTTGAGATGTTCTTTCTTTCGTTTAGCATCAACTGCCATTCTCGACATTGTGATTGTTTTCCTATTAATTTGCCCCTTTTCCTTGTTCATTCACAAGATTATGTAATCTCTATACTTTGCCTGTGCCAGTGCCACGGATCCAAGTGTTGGGACGTCCCCATTATATTATTCTTGGTAGTGTTGGTTATACTGCTCTAACCAAGTTCCGGTAAGTTTATCTTGTAGACCAGCTCTGTTGTTTTATCTTTCTTGACTGCATAATTATATTCCTTGTGGTTCGTGTTCGAAGCGCGCATTTACATGTAACTAGGTACAAAATTGAATGGATTATGAAGTTACTAGTAGTATGTACGATGTCCTGGAGCGCTTGCTACGTGATGAAAGCACAGAGCCAAGAGAACTTCCACTGTCACTTCTAAGAGCCATCACAAACGATTTCTATGATGCTCGGAAAATTGGTGAAGATGGATATTTTGAGCTCTACTGTAACACCCTAATTTTTTTTCGAAATAGATATAAATTGATTTAATTTTGTATTTTGTGCTCATGAAAACATAGGTAAATAATAATTTTTCATTAAATTAAAATTTATCATAAGGCTTAGCAACATTTTTGTGCATACATACGGGTGCATTGGAATTATTGGAATGTGTGACTTTGTATAAAATTCAAATTTTCAAATGGATTTAAATTTGAATTGAATTTGGTTTTGAAAATATGTTAAAGAAAAAAAAAAGAATTTCACTTCTCTCTCTCACTCTCTCTGGTTTTTGGCCTCCTCCCTCTCTCCTTTTGCAGCCCAGTGTGCACGCCGGCCTTTTTCCTCTCCCAGTGGCTCACCCCAAGTCGAGGCCCGCGCAGTATCCCCCTCTCTCCCCTCTCCTCCTTCGCCTTGTGCGGCCCAACCAGGCCCAAGCCGCGCGCACCGGCCCAGCTGCCCCGCATCGCGTCGCCCGCTCCCCTTCTCCTCTCCTCCCTCACTAACGCCGCGACCCTGCGCTCCCTCTCTCTCTCGCTGACCACCGGGGACCACTCGTCAGTGCCTTCTCCTTCCTCAGCCGTCGTCTTCCTCTCGTACAACACTGGACTGCGCCGCCACTGACTCCGCAGCCGCCACGAGTCCACCTTGTCGTGTGCTACACGCCATAGCCGCCTCATAAAAGCTGAGCCCCGTGTCCGCCGCCTCCTACCGTGCCCTATCACAAGCTGCTGCCTCGCCTCAAGCCGCTCCACCGCTGCGAAACCCTAGCCGCCGTCCGCCGCCGCCACCGAGCTCCGCGCCGCCTCCATCCTCTCCACACTGCCGAGGATTGCCGTGGTGAGTTCGCATTGTTTTCCTCTTTCTCCCCGTGCTATTCTCACAAGGAACCGTGGCCTGTATGCCGTATTCCAGGCTTCACCGACGAGCTTCGCCGTCGGCGATGGCAACCACCGTGCCGGATTCCCTGTTCCGGCGGCTGCACTCTCTCTTTCCTCCCTCCTCTAATCCCCGCCGTCCACTCTCAATCCGACGACCCAGATTCACCGTACCGGTTCGATGTGTCACTTTTGCAAAAGAGCCCCTGCCCTTTTCTAGTATAGAACCCGTAGTCCAAAACGTATTCACAGAATACGTTGTCCTTTTCAGAAAGCGTAGTTTCTTTCGGTTAGCTATAGAATACGTTTTCTCTTTCTGGTAAGCGTAAATTCCCTCTATTAGATTCAAAATATGCTTTCTTCTTTTGAAAACGTAGTTTTTTCGGTCGGATCCAAAATACGCTTTCATCTATTTACAGTTTTACCACTATTTTCTTTAGGCCATAACTTCTCCGTTTTAACTCCGTTTTTACCCATTCAAGTTGCGTTAGATTCATAATTACGAAGTCTACATGTTTATCTTACTGTTAAATATAATTTCAACTTTTAAAATTCGAGGTTGGATTAAATCTATTATTTTATTAAAGGAAATCTTGTTTAATTCATAACTTTTTCGTTATTGCTCCGATTAGAGTGCTTTTC